ACCCCTTGGCTGGAACCCTCCAGGCCTTCGCATGGGCCCGGCTCCTCGTCCACGCGGTATCGGAACTCGGGACCCCTCCCTCCCTGTCTCCCCTCCTTTCTCCCTGCCTCTCGCTCCGTCCCCTCTCCTCCCCTCAACTCCCGTCCCCTCCCCTCCCCTCCCTTCCCCCCTACATTTCACTCCCGTTTTTCTACACGGGACCGTCGCAAGCAGTCCTGCCCGGCTCACCTCCATGCTGAAACTGGCCGTTCAATGGTTTGAGAATAGCATAACAACTTGCCAGAGCGTGGGTAGACACGTGCCTCCCTACTTTCACCGCGGGATCGTGCGTCCCGGCGTTTGTGAAGGGGCGCCCACCGAGGGCGCGAAGACAGGGCAGCGCCGACTGGCGCCGCGAAATGTATGTGGAAACAAACCGATATCGCGCTGCAGCCTGCCATGGCAGAGCCGCGACAAAAAGCACCGGCCGGTCTCGCGCCGCGTTTGCAGGATATGCCGTCAACTGTGTTGGCACTCAAGACGCGGCCATCGACAAAGCGCAAGAACTTCCGATCACGTGCAGTCGACTACGTCCGCCATACTGCACCACATGCTGCTAAGCACCGCTGGCGCGACGCAACCAAATGTTGTTGATCTGCTTGCTCACGTCGGTGCCCTCGCCTTGTGCTACGGAAACTCAGCTGGAACCGCCGAGGGAAGGTCGTGCCGCCCTCGGCGAAGGGGCTCCGTATGGCCGACCCTATGCTGCCGGACCCTTCGCCGTCGCTCGTCGTGGCCACGAAGGGCGTGCTCAGCCTCGGCGGCACCACCCCGAACGCGCCAAGCGCAACGGCGCCAAGCCAAAAGTTTACAGCAACCGCGATGCTGGCATTCCGTTTTTGTGCCCATGTTTGCTGTGTCGTCGCTGGTTCAAGAACCCACAATGCACGCGGCCGAACCTGCTAGAGAGCTGCTCCGAAGCGATCACCAGATTGCCGTGCAACCGCTGATTAAACGCCCTGTGCCCTGGACGTGAAGCAGGCCCGCGCAAATGGTAGCGATGCGAGCTGGCAGGGACCGTATCACACGTCGTGAAGCGGACAAGTCGCTTCAATTACCAACCAAATTGAATTGGAAATTAGGCAGGCGACGGGAACTTCGGACAGCCAAACTCAATTAATTGTTGACTACTTCACCATCTGATTTTACAGCGTGCGTGGACTCCGAACCTGAGCTGTCTAAGGGGTCCGTAACGACGCAATGGTGATCAGCTTGCAGGTACAGCGTTGTCACCATCAGGTGGTGCTGCAGTAGGGCGCACAGGACCATGGGCAGCCTCTTGCACGCCTGGACAGACGCGGCCGCGCCAACGGGGCTACCCCCAGGTGACCAAAACGCACGCGCTGCACACTAGAACGGAACTACCAAGTTGAGACACGCCAACACTTGTTCAACGCGCTTCCACAAATCGGCGACAAGCCTTAAGAAGCGACCGCCCGGGCACAACGTCTCCCAAACCCGATGACGGAAACGTGATGGTCCACTCCTGCAGGGCGATAGTTTTCGTTACTTCCGAATTTGGCGTTGATGCAGTCCAGACATCAATGTCTTGCCAACGGGGCTTGCAAAAAACGAGGACCTTATCGGTGTCGGGGCAGGCCTTGAGCGCGTCGACGGGGCCCTCCATGAGGTCGAGCGCAAACTCGTCGGATGTCTTCTCGTAGGCTCGCCCGTCAAGCACAAGGGCACAAAGGGCTTATATATCTTCCAATTCCAACGCCACGCTCCGGGATCATGTCCCCGAGCTCGGCGACAGACGTGGCAGGCGAGGTCAGCTTAAGCAGTTGCAGACACTTGTCGTCTGCAACGCCCACGGTGGGCATGCTCCGATGCAAGTCTTAGGGCAAGCGCGCGCCCTCGTATTCAGCCTCCTGCAGGAGCCAGCGAAACAGTGGAAAACTCTGGCGCCCATGCAACAAAATGTAGTCAGGCGAAATAGGGAACTTTCAACTGTCGTGACTTGCCGCAACTTGTGCTAGTTACTCGAAAGGGTCCAGCAACGGCGGCGAGGCCCCCCCCGTATAACTAGAGAAGAGTCCACCGACCACCGCTTGCCCAGGGCGAGAAGGCGTGTGAGATGCTTGGCTGCCCCCCTCCCTCTGTGCTCCCTCCCCGGATGTCCAAAATCCCGTAGGAGGGGTGGATGGGGTTGAGGCGCGAGCTTCTCAACGCACCTCCAGGGCCCTCAGCGCTTCCAAATCCCCCCTCCGATACCTGCAAGATGCCCACGATGCCCTCCAAGACTGCTCAATAAGCGCTGCAACACGCCTACGAAGCCTCGAACAACTCAACAGGCTCTAAAAGACCACATGCCAATGTTAAAGAAGTATCAAGAGAGGCAGAAAGAGAGAGAGATAGAGAGAGCGACAAAACAAAAAGAGACGTGGGTATCTCGCCTCATTGCTTCCATATGCCCCCCAAGATAATTCCGGAACTAGTCCCCCGAACAGACCAATACGCTCCTCAAGTGTGGCCCCCAATTGGCTCCTGGCTGGTCTCCACCCAAGATGGTCCCGAATGGCTAATGGCTGTAGCTCCAAGATGGCTCAATACCCTTCCAAGATGGTCCAAAGACTTCTCAACGCGGCTCCAAGACCCTTCCACGCGACCCAAAGATCCCCGAAGGGCTCGCCAAGATTGCCAAAAGAAGTCTCCATCGAGCGCCAAAGGGAGCTCCAACCCGCCCTAGAAGGCTACGAGGAGACCCCACACGGCACCATCACGGCCACAAAAATGGGCAAATATTCGGTCATACACTTATTCAGGCCGTACCCCACTCCAAAACTCGCTGATTGGGAATTGCGGGCTCATTCATTGCCGTCTCTTGCCGTTGACAATGCCCAACCAGAATACGAGGATCCGCCGGCCCCCTTGTGGGGCCACCAGGCTGCGAGGCCCGTGATTCGCAGTTTCCTGTACCAGTTGTAGCTTGTAGTTTCCAGTGTTACAGTTCTGCTTCTTTCTGGTTACTGTAACTAGTTGACTTCTTGCTGGTTACTGTAACTAGTTGATTGACCGCGCGAGGGGGGGAGGCCCAAACAAGACTTTTAGCACCCCCTGAGCGCGTTGTCTGAATTGCTGGGGGGGCTCGAAATCGACACCCCTCACGCAGATCCGCGGGGTCAGGGTCCAAAAACACAGGGGATTTGCCACATTTCTGAAATTCGGTGCCACCCCTCACGCAGATCCGCGGGGTCAGGGTCCAAAAACACATGGGATTTGCCACATTTCTGAAATTCGGTGCCACCCCTCACGCAGATCCGCGGGGTCAGGGTCCAAAAACACAAGGGATTTGCCACATTTCTGAAATTCTGTGCCACCCCTCATGCAGATCCGCGGGGTCAGGGTCCAAAAACACAGGGATTTGCCACATTTCTGAAATTCGGTGCCACCCCTCACGCAGATCCGCGGGGTCAGGGTCCAAAAACAAAGGGGATTTGCTACATTTCTGAAATTCGGTGCCACCCCTCACGCATCAGCGGGGTCAGGGTCAAAAAACACATGGGGTTTGCCACATTTCTGAAATTCGGTGCCACCCCTCACGCAGATCCGCGGGGTCAGGGTCCAAAAACACATGGGATTTGCCACATTTCTGAAATTCGGTGCCACCCCTCACGCAGATCCGCGGGGTCAGGGTCCAAAAACACATGGGACTAGAACCACGCGCGCGCTTCGCGCGCGCTTAGGTTCTAGCTAGGATCGTCACCGTCGTCATCATGAACATCACCATCGCCATCATTCCCCCCGCCAGGGCTAATGTACATCGTTTCTGGATGCTTCTGGCCGGAATACGAAAGGAGTTTCTGTAGTTAGAGTCTTTGGGGGAAGTCGCGGGGCCCCTCAGAATACTTACGAATGCCTCTGACAATCCCCCAGCGTGCCCCACGAGATGGCCAGATGGTGCCCGAACAGAACCCGAGAACGTCGACGACGGCGGCGATGAAGACGGCGGCGATCGCGGCGACGAAGGTAGCGGCGGTTGCCATGGGTTAGTACCCAATCAGAGCTTGCCTCTGTAAGGGTCCTGGCGGATTAAAAGGTTCGATGAGCTTCGGCAAGATTCCGGCCCCATGCGGCCGGGCCGGGTGCCCGGGTGACCGGGTGCCCGGGTGCCCGGTGCCTGGGTGCCTGGGTGCCCGGTGCCCCGGTGCCGGGGTGCCTGGGGGTGCCCTATCGCCCTATAGCCCTGTAGCCCTATAGCCGTATAGCCCTATAGGACTATAGCCCAATAGCCCTATATCCCTATATCCATCTAGCCCTTTAGCTCTATAGCCCTCTGATCCTATAGCCCTGTAGCCCTATAGCCCCATAGCTCTACAGCCCAACAACCCTATAGCCCAATAGCCGAATAGCCCACATAGCCCTATAGCCCTATGGCCCTAGCCCTATAGCCCTATAGCCCTACAGCCCTATAGCCCTGTAGCCCAATAGCCCTGTAGCCCAAGTCGTTTTCATCCTGAGTCGTTTTCTGACGGTCCCGGGAACCTGCGAGGGGCCCCGGAGGCCGAAAATTAACAAACAACCGCCGTCGTGATTTTTCCAAGACGTCGGAGGTCCAGGTCGTGCTTCCCGCCTCCCCAGACCTCCGACGTCGTAATTTTTGCGACCTCGGGCCCAGGAATCGATTGGGAAAACGCACATGGGAAGGCAAGAAATGATGGACCCATCATTTCGTACCTGTGCCTTGATCAGTGGGACGGGCTTCGCACCGCCGCACATCACAAGACACGCTCGAGCGGATCCAGCCGTGGCGACGTCGGGGACTGCAGAAGGTCGCAAGGACACGGAATCTGAAGAGAGAGAGAGAGAGAAGAGAGAGAAAGAGAGGGAGAGAGAGACAGACAGACAGACAGAGAGCGAAGAGAGAGAGAGAGAGAGAGATGGAGAGAGAGAGAGAGAAAGCAAAAACAAAGAGAGAGAGAGAGAGAGGCAGAGAGAGGAAATGGAGAGGAGGCGAGCTTGAGTCAACGAAAGTCGCAGGGAAGGGGGCAGGGGGAAGAAGGCCAGAGAGCGCTGAAGGATCAAATACTGGAACCCTCTTGGGATTTTTTGGGGGGCCTCGTCCGGCCGCTCGCTGGGAGTTTGACGTAGCTTCTCGGGAGCCTCTGAACCTGTCGGAGGCCTCCTGGAAGCAGGTTCGAAGCATTTTGGGGGCCGATTTGGGGCTTCTCGGGGCCTCCTTTGGGCCTCTTGGGGGTCTCCTGGGGCCTCTTGAGGGGCCTCCTTGGGGCCTCCTGGCGGCCTCTTGGGGCGGAAGGCTCGAGCTTGCGGTTCGTGGTCCCCCTCTGGGCCCCCTCTTGGGCCCGTCTTGGGGCCCTCTTGGGCCATCTTGGGCGCCTCTTGGGCCGTCTTGGGGCCCTCTTGGGCTGTCCTGGGGCCCTCTTGGAAGCTTCTTGGGCCGTCTTGGGGCGGTCTTGGGCGCCTCTTGGGCCGTCCTGTAACGTCGGAAAGCCCAAAAGGCAACTTTGTGAAAAATGTACGTTTTACGAAGGGAATGGGCCAATTTTTGCGTCTAGGGGCCCTCTTGGGGCGCATGTTGGAGGCTTCTTGAGGCGTCTTGGGGGCGTCCTTGGACGTCTGGAGGCCATCTTCAGCATCTCGGAGCCCTCTTGGGAGAGGAATGGGAAAAAAGAAAGAAAAAAGAAAAAACAAGAAAAAAAAAAAAAAACAAGAAAAGGAAGAGATGGAAGAAAAGAAAGAAGAAAAGAAAAAAATGGAAAAAAAAAGAGAAAAAAAACAAAGAAAAAATTGGAAAATAAAGAAAAAAAAAAGAGAGAGAGAAAGAAAGAAGGATTGGACGAAAAGAAAAAAAAGAAAAATGGAAGGAGAAGAAAAGCAAGGAAAGAAAATTGGAAAGATGGACGAAGAAAAAGAGAGAAGAAAAAAAGGACTTGAAAAGATGAGAGCAGAATGTAAGGCCCTTGGAAAAAAAAAAAAAAAAAAAGTTGCTTGGGCCGTCTTTGGGCGCTTCTTGGGCCGTCTTGTCTGGACCGGGGAGGGCCTCCGGCAAGCCCCGACGAGCCTCCGGCCCACCCCCGGGCACATTTGTTGGTCGGGGTCCCGCCCCAGGCCCCCGGGACCCGGTGCGCCGTTTATGTGGTTGTATTTGCCACATTCCTGAAATTCGGCGCCACCCCTTACGCAGATCCGCGGGGTCAGGGTCCAAAAACACATGGGGTTTGCCACATTTCTGAAATTCGGTGCCACCCTTCACGCATATCCATCGCAAGGCGTGGTAACCCAAAATGCGAGAACTCCCTCGGCCCTTTAATCGCAAGGTGTGGTAACCAAGCCCTTACACCATACACGTCTTACCAATCGCCAGGTGTGGTAACCCCTCTTGTGATCAGTTGGTTTTGCTGATTGCGACTCGGCTTCGCATGAAGTTTCGATACTGCTTCACGACAGCGCCAAGGCCTCATGACTTAGCTCTTCCATGGCCCATTCTCCGAGAGAGGGGGCCGGCGGCAGGGGGCGAAGCCCTTACGGATAACCATTCGAGGCCAATGCTTTCACCGCCTCTCACACTCATCCATCCTACTGCGGCAACTCCGCTTCTCCTTCTCAACTCATTTCCTCTCTCCCTCCGTCTCCAAATAATCCTGACGCTTCTTGCAGCCCAAAGTGGTGCTCCCTAGGTCGCCCCCATTGATGGCCCAACACTGAGAAGATGGTCACAATCACTCCCCCCACCATCCTACTCGCACTCGTCCTCCCCCTTGCCTCCTCGCCCCTCCTGGGCATCGCACCGCTGTTCGCGGTCCCCGTGCGCGGCACCTGGATCGGGCAACCCGTGCAGCCCAGACTACATCCCGCCCCGCTTACCGTTCGGAGCTCGGCGGGCAGACGTGATCCTTGCGCGCATGGCAGGCGACCGAACGGGCTGGCAAACCTGCCGTCCCATCGGCGGGAGAAAAAAGAGCTCGGCTCCTCCCTGGTCGAGTACGCGCGCAGGTGCTTCTGAGCGAAGAGGCGGCGCGCCTGCCACATGAAGACCTTGTTCTTCTTGGCCTGAGGGTGCGGTGAAGCCCGCGCGCTGTCGTCGGCGGAGAGAGAGAGAGAGAGAGAGAGAGACGGTGCGCCGAGGAGGCGGTGGGCACCTGGGAGGGCGAAGATCTGAATGCCTCCGGCGCGCATCACTGGTGCTGCACCGCGGCCGCCCCCCTTGTGTCAGAGGTCCCCTCTTCCTGGGTATATATCTGGCCACACCCTTTCGAAACCCCGGGCTCCCACTGGAATCGTGAAGGGCCCCCATTGGCCAGCCAAGAGTTCAGGACTTGGGGCTGGATGGGATGTTGATCCAACGGCGATGCCACGAGCTCGGGGAAATGGACAAATGGAGGAGTCAACAAACCCTCGTGGCTCTGCCGCAAGAGGTGGGCCTGAGAGGGCTGGGCTGGCGAGAACCCTGCTCTCTCCAGGCGCGGCGCAATGCTTCCATGAATGCTCGGCAACATAATGCGCGCAAGCACCATGTGTTCGAGAAAGAACCGCTCTCCGTACTCGTACTCATCGGAACACTCTCAGCGACCAACTGTAGGGCCGAAGCGAGAATTTGATCATCGAAGCCAACCACCCATCTTGGGAATGTGCTCGATGTTTTTCAGGCTTCGCGATGGCACAAAATGCTCAAGCGCAAATTGTGCGGGATAATATCGGACTCCAGCCCGCAAACCACCGGAATCGTCTCACGCAATGAGCGCGGCGCTGTGGTGAGAGCGCAAATCCCACCAGCCTTCTGGGCGTAGGTGGTCTAACGATTCCCACCAACCCTCTGGGCGTAAATGGTTTAATACAGTTTGTCTTCTCTCCCTGCCAAAACCCTTCCTTGGGGGAATGGTTCATCTTTATTCCTTATTGCTATACACCCCCTCCCCCACCCGGCCGGCAGCCAACCCCAGAATCATGATATCCCCACGAGGGCCATGCTAAAACATAATACAAAAAACGCTTTGCCTCCACATTTGGAGCATGTGCGGCCTCCCCCCGACCATTTTGTATTGAAATTTTAGCAGGTCCCACCTGCCTTCTGGGCGCAGGTGGTCGTCCGACTGGTTTGACGAATCAGTGGCTGCCGCCTTTTCGCCTTATCGCTTCCAGTGGGCTTTCGAAACCTCCCAATGGTTTCAACATTCGTTTCCAGTGGGCCTTCGAAACCCTCCAATGGTTTCGAAATTGGCCAAGAAACTCAAAGCCAGGCCTAAGAAGCTTCCAAACCCGTGGCGTCTGCGGTGTTCTTATGCGATATGCTGACATCCAGGTGTTACTTATGTGTTGGGAGGACGGGTGGGAGTGAGCAAGACGGCTTGCGGGCAGGTGGGTAGCTTGACCCCTCCCCCTACCCCCCCCCCTCCTGGGTCTGGACAGGGCGCCCCGCGAGGGGTTAGAGCGCCCAAGATCGCCCAAAATGGCTGCAAGATGGCCTCGGAGAGCGCAAGATGGCCTCCAAGATGGGTTTAGATAACTCGAGATGGCTCAAGATAGCCGCCGAAGCACATTCAAGAGGCCTCATGACGGCCCCGAAATGGCTTCAAGGGCCCCCCCGAGCCCTCCAAGGACCCCCCCAAGAGGCCAACATGGCTCCAAAACCTGCGGAGCATCATTGGTTTTTGCCTTCTCGCCGCTTCACCTCCGATGGGCCTCGGAGTGGACCGCCTGTAAAGCCCTGCTAGAGTGTCGAAGCTCGTTTGGGGGGCCGTCTTGAGCCTGTTCGGCCGCCTCTTGATCTGTCTTGGTCCATTCTCGGGGTGCGTTGGTGCAATCTGGGGAGCGTTTCTTTTCCGAACGGGAAGGCCCAGCGTGCCACGCTCGGGTAAGAAACCCTGAACGACCAGCGTGCTTTGGCGCCCTCGGGGATCCACCCAAAGAACAACAACACGCGCGTACAATGTGGCAATCATGAGAAGGGAAACGGAATCGCAAGCAGACTGGTAACCAGAAACCAGCTTGCGACTCCAGCCTATATAATTGCACTGGGGCCCAAGACTCAGCGTATCTCTCTCGCAAGGCGCCCATATCACGAACTTAAGAGAAAAATGAATGAGCCCGACCAGACAGAATAGAGCACCGGCCTCGGCTCTAAGATCTCCCGCCGCGCTGTGCCGCTGCTGTCGGGCCCCTTCTTGCGGCTCAGTTTGGTCCGCCCAAATTCCCCCCTCAGTCTGCAAGCCCATCCAGGTCCTCCCACAGCGCAGTGGCAAAGTTGCACTGCAATGCAATCACTGAAACATGGCATGGTAAAACTCGTAAACCAAACTACATATTCCACCGAGTACTTTGCGGTACCAATACTGCCGTCGGACGGACCCCTCCGGAGCTCTCCTTCTTAAGGCGCCGTGGGCCGTCTTCGGGCGATCTCGGAGCGATCGGGGGGATGCCTCGGAGGCCGCCGCGAGCTGCTGAGAGACCGGAAACTAGAGGCCTATTAAGTGCCCCGGGTGTGCTGCGTCCTGGTGTCCCCCCGGGGCCGGGTTTTTCGGGCGTATGCGAGAAGGAGGAGGAGGCAGAGGAGGAGGAGGAGGAGGACGAGGCAAGATGAGGTGGAGAAGGAGGAACAGGCGCAAGAGGAACAGGAGGAGAGGAGGAGGAGGAAGAGGGGCGCCAGCCTGTATAAAGGCCTGGGCGGTTTTAGTGTTTTGTTTAATCTTATATCATTCCTTCTTCGCTTTCCCCTCAATGCATTTGCTTTGGATGAAACTTTCATTATCATCGGAGTTTGCCTATGCAATATCCTCCTCTTCTTTTCCTTCCATCTCCATCCCCTTTCATCTTCCTCACTCTCTTCATCAGATGAGGGGTAGGAAGAGGAGGACGGGACGGGTGAAGAGGAGGAGTAGGAGGGAGGAGGAGGAGGAGGAGGAGGAGGAGGAGAAGGAGGAGGGGGGAGGAGGAGGAGGGAGGAGGAGGAGGTGGAGGAGGAGGAGGGAGGAGGAGGGGGGAGGAGGAGGGGGATTTTTTTGGGCTCCTCCATGGGACGCCGATCATGCCAGCTACGGGGGTGCACTACGCACTGGACTCACTCCCATGAGTGAGGAAACCAAGATCCTGGAGAGCCCAACTCTCGAGGACGACCTCCTTCCTTCCCGTTCTGGGGTGGAGGCCCCGGTCGAAACGGCTCCGCCGTTCCTTGCCCATTCTGTCCAGGACAAAACCAGGCCGTCTGGCAGGGCACGTCTTGACCAAGCCGACGGGATGCTGCTGCGCGGAGGAGGAGGAGGAGGAGGAGGAGGAGGAGGAGGAGGAGGAGGAGGAGGAGGAGGAGGAGGAGGAGGAGGAGGGAGGAGGAGGCTGGTCCTGTGGGGGAGCAGCCAGGCACGGTCCGCCCAGAGGCCCAGGGACAACGCTGGAGGGGGGATGGGCTGCAGTCGGGCATGTCCCTCTTGGAGGATTTCTCCGAAGGGCTTAGGCGACCCGTCCTCCTTTCTCCTCCTCCTCCCCCTCCTCCTCCACTATAGAACGATTCTCGCGCGCCGGACACCGGACACCGGACACCGGACAGCGGACAGCGGACAGCGGACAGCGGACAGCGGACAGCGGACAGCGGACAGCGGACACCGGCCACCGGCCACCGGCCACCGGACACTGGCATAATCTTCACCTACTGTTCTGTAAGCAGGAAACTATGGCCTCTTTTTGAATTTTCGGGTCGGGCTCCGTATTCTCATAGACAATCGTTTGGCACTTTCATTCTCTATTGTTCTGAAAGCAGGAAACTATGCTCGTGTATTATATTTCCAGGCGGGTGCTCGGGGTTTTACAGAGAATGGCTAAGCGTATTCCCTTCATATTATGTGGTAAATGATTAACGCAAGCGAACATGTAATCAATTTAATAGTTGTCTAATTATTTAATTAATTATTTGCGTGGTTCCCTTGCTCGGTTAACCATTGGCAGTGTGTGGAGGGACGCGGAACGACGCGGATTGGATGATAATCTAAATTATTATTAAAATGAGCACGCAAGCGAACATATAAATAATTAGATAATTATTTAATTATGTATTCAATTATTTGCGTGGTTCCCTTGCTCATTTAATCATTGACACTGCGTGGGGGAGGCGCGGAACGATTGCGGATTGAATGCAAATCAAAATGATTATTTCGATGAGCACGCAAGCGAACATGTAAATAACTAAATAATTGTTTGATAATGTATTTAATTATTTGCGTGGTTCCCTGACTCATTCAACCAATGGCACTGTGTGGCGGGGGCGCGGAACGATGGCGGATTTAATGCTAATCAAAATGATTATTTCGATGAGCACGCAAGCGAACATGTTTAATTAGTTATTTAATTATTTGCGTGGTTCCCTTGCTCATTCAACCAATGGCACTGTGTGGCGGGGGCGCGGAACGATGACTGATTGAATGCTAATCAACATGGTTGTTTCAACGAGCACGTAAGCGAACATGTAAATAAGTAAATTAAATAATTAGTTAACTAGTTACTTAATTATTTGCGTGGTTCCTTTGCTCATTTAACTACTGGCACTGCGTGGAGGAGGCGCGGAACGATGACGGATTGAATGCTACTCAAAATGGCTACTTCCAATGAGCACGCAAACGAACATGTAGATGATTAAATACTTATTCAATTATTTATTTAATTATGTGCGTGGTTCCCTTGCTCAGTTAACCATTGGCACTGTGTGGAGGAGGCGCGGAACGATGCGGATTGGATGAGAATCTAAATGATTATTACAATGAGCACGCAAGCGAACATGTAAATAACTAAATAATTATTTGATTATGTATTCAATTATTTGCGTGGTTCCCTTGCTCATTTAAGCATTGGCACTGTGTGGAGGAGGCGCGGAACGATGCAGGTTGAATGCTAAGCAAAATTGTTATTTCAATGAGCACGCAAGCGAACATGTAAGTAATTAAATGATTATTTGATTATTTATTTAATTATTTGCGTGGTTCCCTTGCTCATTTAAGCATTGGCACTGTGTGGAGGAGGCGCGGAACGATGACGGTGGAGAGGTAGGTGGATGAAAAATTTAATGCTAA